GCAAGACAACACTTTTGCCAACCGTGCTTGTTTAACTTGTCCTTTGGAAGTTCGAGGATGCCTGCTGGCCACCCTTGCCGGCCGCCCTAGAGGCCCGTGCTCCATCCCAGCCAAATCTTGTGCGTAAATGTTTTTACTTTTGGGCTCAGCCCTTGAAGTTCATGTTTTCACGAAACAATCAATCGCTGATTACATCAAATGGGAGTTTCCCACTGCACTGCAGCAATGTTTCGCATGAAGCCATAAGCGCAGGAGTTGGCAGACCAGAGTCTATGCCTCACTCCTTCCAGTGCTTCCAGAAGTGCTCGTTTAGCCAGCGCTTTGTCAAGAGGCTGGCTTTCCACGCTGTAAAAGATGCGTGGGCAATCCGTGAAAGACCGTGAAAACCCCGCGAAAACAGCTTGAAAAGACGCCCTTTGTTTACTCGTGCCAGGGCGCCCAGCAAAGACAGCGCTTTTATCAATCGTGCTCCACCCTTGCCGGCCGCCCTTTAGGCCCATGCTCCACCCACAGTGCCAAACCTTTTCACAGTGCTCAAACAAAGAATTGCTTCAGTTAAATGGGAGTTTCCCACTGTGCCAGCCTTTTTGACTGCAGCAACGTGCAGCATGAAGCCATGAGTAGGAGTTGGCAGACCGGAGTCTCTGCATCACTCCTTGCACGCCTCATAGCCACATTTGCCGGCCGCCGTATAGGCCCATGCTCCATCCATTGTGCAAAACCTTGTGCCTGAATCTGTTTACTTTTGGGCGCAGCGCTGGAAGTTCAGGCAAAGAATCGCCACATTAAATGGGAGTTTCTCCCTTTTCTGAGCGGTCCTTTGGATATGGGGCAGGCTTCGCTGTAGGACCTCAAGCAAACACGCAACACGCGTACAGCTTGTGTGGACTCATGTCGGCTATAACTTGGATTCATCTTCCCAGCTAGGTCCGTAGTAAGGCAACAGGAACCAGCTTCAGCTTTCGTGGCAAATAAGTGCCCGAGCAGTGGTAAATGCAATCACATGCAAACCGGATTGCGGGGCAGAGCTTTGGCTTTGCACACTTTTTGGAATAGCTCCCGAGTTGCGGAAATTTGGCCCGAGCCTGAAATTGTGCTCAAGTTGCGGTTTGGTTTTCTGTCGACTTCACCAAAGCAGCTAGGCAACCTCAAGAAGTGCTCGAATTGGACTTGAGCAGAAAAAAGCGCTCGAATGCCACAAGCTGCGCGCAGTACTTTTTTGTGTATCAATGGGTCCTGCAGGTGCAAAACTATAACTGCTCGCGCCGAGCAGCTGATATTCGCGGTTCAGAACCTCAAAGCCCATGCTGTCTTGCACCCAAAGAGCTGCAGGAATTGAGACATTTGCAGCGCGCAGCCCGAGCTCTCGATATGTCTGGCACACTTTCCTGCGCGTTGCATTTCAGGCAGAGACTGCTTGCGCCAATGCGACACGCGCTCTACGCGAATTTCGAACCGGCGATGTCCAGAGACGCTGCACAGACTGACCGCAAACAGGCGCATCAAGCAGGCGCAGCTGACTGAGGCTGACTGGGGGTGCAGTCTTGCCCAGGATCTGAGGCGTTCCTTGTGCTCCTACGTTGTGAAAGTCGTCGTGACCTTCAACGAAGTGTTTCCGGTGCCTTGGCAAGCTTGTCAGCCCCCCTCGTGCTTGGAACTTGTGGGCATGGCTTGCCAGCTCTCAAGATGCGGGGTTCTGCGTGCTCAGAGCTGCGCGCTTGAGTGAGTGGCAGAGTGCCCACACGGCGGGTTTGCCTTCGCCAAGCAGGGGAAGCTGCTGTGAAGGCGCAACGCGCAATGGAGCAGTGGAAGATCAACACGTTCGCGCCCCTGCTGATGATGCACGGCCCCGGCATGCCCCGGCTAAGGCAGACTTGGGCTGCAAGGCTTGCGCAGGATTTGCAGCGCGTTTCGGAAAGCCGGTTGTGCTGTTTCAGAAGCCTTCACATCCAAGCTTGGCAGCGGATTCAATCGCATCACGGCTTCTGAAGCCGCAGGATTTGCACAAATTTAGAGATGACTTTGTACCCTAATGTCCAAATTCTACAATGCTGGGGCGCAGTGCCCGTCAAACATGTGTATTGGCACGGGGGAACCTTCCATTCCCAACTCCTAAATCAGGACTGGTCACAGAAGGTGGGGCACGAAGAGTATCACATGCTGGTTTTCTCATCCTCTTGCTTCCCCATACCCCTTATGTCCAGCGGGCTTAGGCAGCGCAAGCTGCTGCGTAGCGGTTCATGTCGCTCTGTATGCTTCCATAGCTGCCGCAGCATTCTGACTGGTTCACACCGATGCTTAAGGCGTTCGCCTTTGAAGGGCGTGCCCCTGACGCAGGAAGTAATTGCTTGCGAATGTTGCACTCGCGTCCCAGGGTCTGAGGTAAGTTTTTTGCTTTCACTGGAGAGGCAGTGTCTTTGCATGTGGATAAGTGGGCGTCTCTTCAGAGCCAGGGTGCCCTTTTTACATTCTTTGATGGAAGAAGCTGCGGTGCTGTACTTGAAAGAATCATTTCAACAGGTCGCAGCGTCAGGGGCAAACACACCACACTTGGCTATTCTGCACTGCACGCATTGGTTGACATCCGCACACTCAATCAAGAGGTTCAACTCGAAAGGCCTCTCAAGCGTAGCAGAGTTGGGACATATGAGGCCCACGGCGATGTGCAGCGCGCGATCTGGGATTTGGAGAGGGCAAAGCGACTCCTCAGCCTCAGTCAAACGCTTCTTACGATGCGTTGCCAAGAGCCCCGATTGACCATAGTGTGCAGAGACTGGCTTGTGGCACGTTTGATCTTTTAACCTAGTACTTTTCCAGGCAGGCGCCAACTGATTTTTTTTGAGCGTCCCACGGGCTTGCTATCGGACGCCGAGGGGAAGGCTGAAAGAGAGTTCACCCTTTTCAATGAGTTGGGCTTCCCTTCAACGATGGCTGCATCCACTTTGCGCGAAACAAATACCAGGCCTGGAAGACGACTTTTAGTCGTGCAGGAAGTCGCAGGTATTCTCCAAACAAGTGTGCACACTGGGGTCATGCCTCATTCTGAATTGTGACTGTGTTGCCAAGCAATGGTCACAAATTGCCGCTTTGATGTGGCATTTCGCAACAACAAGTGCCATCTCGCTGGAAGACTGTGTTTGCAACCAGAAAGCAGAGTATGTGTACCCTCCGCGAAAGCCACAGGTATGTGACTACTTGACCTGTACCGTTGTAGGGTGCCAAAGGACGCACTATGCGACATCTCCTGGTCTGGTGTCTATGCTGCTCATGGTAATGGCCAGTTTTGAGCAGGGCTCCTAAATACAACTACATATCTTTCGCCATTTCAACCATTACTTTGTGAGGCAAAATCTAAGCATCCTTCACGTGCTCTTTCTGTCCAGCCATTCAGGCCACGTCACGCAGACTAGCGGCTGTAGCAAGCTGCAACCTGCTTTGTGCCGCGGCCCTGGCGTCTTTTCGCACGCACAAGCGAAGACACGAGGGCGCAGAACCGGAACCCGTGCCGCGGCACGTCCAGGCAACCGGCTCAAGTTATGTCACAGGCTCCAGGCTTTTGGTCCGCGATTTGCGCAAGCAAGGGGATAGCTTTGGTTTTGCCCGGAGTACGTATGCTTGTGGATGTGTGCCATGTGTTTGCATGCCCGAGTCAGCGGCTCTGTTCTTGCAGCTGCCAGCTCATTTATTTTGTTCTGCAGTTTTGTGTTCATTCGGACTCCGAGACTGCGCGCGAACAAGAGCTGCAAAGCCTGAGTTGTCCTTGCGGAATGTTCCCAGTCGAAAGGTGATTTAAGCCTTAGATCCATGCAGTTGACTCTTGCCGGTAGTTTTAATGCTGAGTGGATTTCGGGTGTGGTCTATCACCTGGTCCAGCCAGCGGCATGCACACACACTTCAATCCTTCCGGAGGTGCGAGTCCGGAGCACTCCTCCAACGGCGCACCGGGACTTGTCGGCTTTCGCGCACTTCTAAAGGCTTTCACACAATCTGGGCATGTGCATTTAAAGTGCCCTTGCACTTGCATCCCGTCCTTCGTGCTAGGCACCTTTCTGTTTGAATGGCGTACACTTCGAGATTTGGAAGGGGCGGTTGCGTCATGATCTGTTTGTGAGCGTTGGGGATGTCAATCCCACCTTGGAAAGGTCGTAGGGGTGGACATGCCATGCACCAGGGCAGCAGTTCAGCCGCTGCTTTCTCAGCAAGTGACCCCTAGAATCCAACCGTTTCATCATCACCCTGTCCCACTGCCCCGGCCTTGTTTGAATGCTGCAGCGATGTGCAGCGTGAATACACGAGCGCATCCGCAGCAGGCAGGTTTGAGCCAGAGGCTGCTTGTGCACGATGCAGAGATGTGCATTCAACCCAAGGATGTCCCATTTTTTTGCGATCAGTTTGTAGTGGCTCTGAGTATAGTAGCAGCTTCAGCATGGCATGGCCCCTCACAAAGCGCGTGTCAGCTGGGCAAGGAACTCTGCAGCTCAGCACGGCCTCCATTGCCAGCCAGCTCAGGCACTGGGCTTGGCAGTGGCCCGCGCCTCAGCCATGCCGGCGCAAGCGGAAAGTTCAGAGGTTGTGAAGTATTTCCGCTTGAGAGTTTCGCCGAGATGCTGTGCGCCGGCGCACGCTGTCGGGCAGTCTACATGTGAGGTGAGCCAACGTTGGCAGCTGCAAAGTGCTGCTAGCAAGAGCAGGTGTTGAGATGAGTTGCTTGAGAGCCAAGACCATCCTCTCTCAACCAGCACCTTCAGCACATGCCTTCAGGCTCTGCGCGCCGAACGGTCCACTTTGAGTTTCAGCCGCCGAAAGGTCTCGGCCTGACAGCCAGCAGGTGGACAGCGGCTTGACGCGCAGCTGGCTTGAGGCATTTGGGCATTCCACAGCGAGAGCCAGGCACGCAGCGCTACTTGTAGTGCTTGGCAGCCAAGTTCCAGGGGTTCTCTCTGCAAGCTCCGAGCTGCGCGTTCAAGTTGCAACTGCTGCCGGTGTCGCGGGCTTGCAGAATGACGGGCCGTAAACATCGTCCAAAGTTTAGCGCTGCGCAAAGCATTTGCTTGCGCCGTGTTTGGGTCCAGTTCCCACCAGGTGTTCTTCGCAATCCCTTTGTGCGCGGGGAAGCGCTCAGTCAGGCTGTTGAGACGAAACCTCCCTGCAGAGGCTTCGTGCGTTCGGTGCTGTTCGTGCCAGTCTTGCTGCGCTGCCAGAGCGCTGCCTGTGGACACACACGCGAGTCCTTGATTGCATTTCTACCTGTTCTGGTGTTCCTGGCATTGGCGACATATCCTCCTGCCCAAGGTTTCGTCGCCGCGCCCACTTAAAAAACAGCATCGTGACGTGGTGCCATCAGTGTCAGAGACTGCTTCGCTCGAAGATCCTGTTGAGTGCTCCGTGCAGCTGTCCGCGCTCTGACTCCAGCACTTGCTGGTCTCGTTTGTTTGCTCTGTGTGCAGCTGCCTCAACATCGGCGGCTCCTACCGCTCCTCCGTGAGTTGGCAGTCTCGCATTCGCGCACCAGGGCATGAAGTGCTTGTCTTGAAACGGGCTTCGTGGGAATTCGGTGTGGGCTATCTTGGCGTCGGGCAGCATGCTTTGCATATCCATAGTCACGGATTTTGCCTTGGGAGTTTCGTGGCCCGGAAACTTTGACTAGTGGTTGCGGTATGTTGCAGCTGGAGTCCGTGGGAAGGCCGCTATTGCAAGATCTGAGGCCACGTCAGCATAGCGTGGAAGTCGTCAAGAGGGCTTGGTGTGACTTACGGACAGCGCATTGCACATGCTGCCACCAGCAGCAGATTCGTCAATAGTTGCATGCGCGGCATTGCCTAGTCCAGCTACTGAGTCATATTTGCGAACACTCCAAGTAGTCATGCGCTATGCTTCGGTAATGGCTGCCGAGAAGGTTGTTGCATTGCACAGCTCAATTGGAACATTGCACGCGACGATGTTGCGCAATTTCGCATAGCTATGGCATCATCCCAGCTCAGTTGGGTACCTTTTGTCACTAAGCTGCAAGGCAAATCCCAGGCTCTCCGATTTTTTCCGGCTTGCTTGTTTCAGTCACACTGCCCAATGTCAACGAGCAGCCTTGCGGCCGACAATGCGTTGGTGTCAATGTCAACTTTGTCCTTCGCCGTTTCTGGCTTTAATTTGCTCGCAAAGCAAGAGCAAGTTCTCAGTTCCCGCACAACGAGTTGAGCCGTCTTTTCAAGCAAAAGCGGACGTGAGTCACAGATGACAACAAGCTGTATGACAGAAAGCTGTATGACAGCGGCAGGTAGTCTCAGACAGCTGATGTTTGCAGCCAATTGGTGAAAAGCGAACAATCATGCTTTGCACACGCACTTAATTACACTTGTGAGGACAAACGCATAGCGTTACCTGTTGCACTGGTGCGAGCGCTGGTCACCGGCGATGGACAGTTAGTCTTCCCTGTGTTTGTGACTTTTGACAAGTAACTCAGTAACTCCTGTTATCCACCTGAAGCGCATCTTTTCGGGAATCTGCATGCAGTATCCAAAAGATGCTGTGTCGATCACAAAGCAGACCGTGCTCTCTTACAGACTGGAGACTGGGCTACGTGACAACGGAGTTTGCCACCACTGCAGTGCCATCGTGATAGAAATTACGTTTCTTACTCTTCTCTGACCTGGTTGGAAGACTGCAGGCTCCTTCTCAGGAGTACTTGCGACGTTCGCTTTCCTCTCTTCAAAAGGCCTGCCGTTTGTGTCTACTTGGCAAGTTTCATGTTGGTTGCACGCTGTTTCAAAGAAACTTGGGGGCCCGCGAGCGCGAAATTGGCCGTTAGCAGTATCTGGGCACCGCTCGAGTGTCAGTAGGCATCCATTTCCCTGCAAGTCCCATGCCTGCTCTTGCAGATGGGGCCATCTTGGCTTGCAGGTTGCCAGAAGGCGGGGCTTCACTGGGCTTGAAGCAGCCTTGCAGTTTGCCGGCTTTTTTGGCCTGGCAGGGAGGTTGCGCTCATTTGGAGCCATGCCGATTCCAAGTCACAGCCATCCATCTCCATGTGCGCTTGCGTTATTTGCAGTTGCAAGCTCATATCAGCCTGAGCCATGTGGTTGTTCTATGCCACTTGCGTGCGCATTTGGGAGCCCGCAGAATCACAGAGCAAAGGCCACGTTGGCTCGGTAGAAACTAGCTCGAGCGAGAAAGCATCTATTGCCCAGTATGTCCAAAGGCGGCTCTCGCAGATGGGGCCATCTTGGCTTTCAGGTTGCCAGCAGCACTGGAGCAGCGATCAAACAACCCATGAGGATTCCTCGTCACGGGGCGCCATCATGTATTCTGCAGCACGAATGGTTCAGGGCGCGGAAGCTCGTGGAAACTTCCGCTGAGAACAAAGCAAGTTTTGTTGCTGTGGAATCCAAAACCCCCGCAGCTTGCAGACCCATATTGTGACAATGCGTGATTTTATTTTGGGTGACCGCTTGTAAGATTGGGTGTGAAGCAGTTTGCTGGCTTCTTTGGCCTTGTAGGGAGGTCACGCTTATTTGGAGCCATGCCGATTCCAAGTTTCACAGCCATCCATCTCTGCGCTTGCGTTATTTGCAGTTGCAAGCTCGTAGCTTGAGCCACGTGGTTGTTCCTTGCAAAGTGAGCTGCCGTTTCAGATGGGGCCATCTTGGCTTGCAAGTTGCTAGGAGGTCAGGCTTCGCTGGAGCAGCGATCAAACAGCCCATGAAGAAACCCTAGTTTCGGGGCGCCAAATTCTTGGCGCCTAAAAGTATTCTGCTGCAGGAATGGGCATGGTCCCCGGCGCGGGAGCTCGTGGAAACTTCCGAGGAGCATATTGCAAGCTTTGTTGCCGCGGAGGCCAAACCCCATGTCGCGGAAGGTTGCGGAAGCCCCTCGGCTTGCTAGACCCATATTGTGACAAAGTGTCTTTGTTTTGGTGACCTCCTAGGACTGGGCGTGAAGCAGTTTGCTGGCTTTTTGGCCTTGTAGGGAGGTTACGCTTCTTTGGAGCCATGCCGTTGTCAAGTCACAGCTGTCCATCTCCGTGTTCGCTTGCTTGATCTGTAGTTGCTCGCTCATATCTGCCTGAGCGATGTGGTTGCTCCTTGCAACGTGCGCGCGCATTTGGGATTCCGCAGAAGCACAGAGCTGGGGCCACGTTGGCTCATTAGAAATTAGCTCGAGCGTGAGCAAGCATCCATGTCCGGGCAAATGCAATGGCTGCTCTCATCTTGACTTGCAAGTTGTCAGGAGGTTGCGCTTATTTGGAGCCATGTCGGTTCCAAGTCCCAGCTGTCCATCTCCGTGTGCGCTTGCTTGATCTGCAGTTACACGTTCATGTCAGACTGAGACATGTGGTCGTTCCCTGCAACGTGATTGCGGATTTGGGAGCTCGCAGAATCACCGCTGGGGCCACGTCGGCTCGATAGAAACAAGCTTGAGTATCCGTCTATTTTCCAGTAAGTTCAACGACTTCTTTTGCAGATGCGGCCATTTTGGCTTGCAGCTTGCCAGACTGCGGGGCTTCGCTGGGCTTGAAGCAGCCTTGCACTTTGTTGGGTTCTTTGGCCTTGCAGAGCGGTTCCGCATATTTGGAGCCACACCGATTCAGCTGTGCGTCGCTTTGCAATGCCAAGCTCGCGCTGGCCTGAGACATTTGGCCTCACATGCTATCAGCTGTCGTCGCAAGCGCAACTTGAGTAGTTGTTGCTGATTCAACCAGCGGCTGTCAAGAGCAACGAGCTGGCCGCTGACACCCCCCTTGCAGCTGCGGCGCGAGCGAAGCGGTGGATATTCTCCGGTTCTATCCGGTGGACGAGTCCAATAGCAGCCACGGCTTTGCTCGCCTTCGCACATGAATGCTTGAGTGCATGAGCGCCACAGTAGCTGAGCACCAGCTTCAAAAGCAAGTTTCGCGAGGGTTTCAGCTGTGAGCAGCCACTTTGCAGACGATGCGCCTGCTTGAGCCCTGCCTGCGCCAAATGCTCAGGTATGGCAATTTAGTGTGCTGGCAGAAGAATTGCCCCGACGCTTCACACGCCAATCCTCAGTCGACTATTCAGGGCTCTTAGGTGCTATAGAACTTGGCCAGTGCTTGCACGCAAGAAGGCCTCTACTTCTGCTTGCAGTGCTAGCATGTCTGTTCCGGCGCCCACTTGCGCCAGCTCGCCAATGATAGGGCTTAAGAAAGGCATAAGAGGAAGAAGTGGGATAAAGTGAAACATGACGGAGATGCCTGTCAGGCGAGACTTCAAATCCGAACCCCTTGTCCTTCACACGAGCCCAACTCATTGGACGCTGCCCTGACCTTCGGTGGCTTCCCAGCCCACCCCATGCAACACTATTCCGCAGGGTCCATTCTGCGCTGTCCGAATCCTACCCAGGTTACCCAAATTTCGGGTCCCTGAAAAACAAAGGACCTGAGAAGAAGCGATGGCAATCTAGTTGCTGCTTCAACATAGAGCCCAGTCCCATGCATATGCTGGCCAGGGTTTGCTTTTTTCGCATTGGTCCCCCAGCTGCCGATGATAAGTTTGATGAGTCTACTGAATTGAGTGCTTCGGAGCTGTAGCGGCAGACAGTGTTGCTTGGCAAGGTCACTGGGACATTGCGCCATTTTGAGAACAACGCTGGAGCGCAAGTCCCGGCGGAAACGCCCACGCAATTGTTGCACATGCTTCAGAGCAGACGAGAGGCAACCCAGAGACGTTTGTCACGTTTGACCCTAGTCGAGCTACCAGCATCAGACAGAGCAGACAACCGTCAGGCTGAGGACAGAGTTTCACCCACAGACATTCCAAAGGCCAATGCGACACATGTGCTGGTGGCACACAAGCTCATGCCCGAGAGCTTGGATGCTTTTCGGAAGGACGGGCACAAGCTGAGGGTGTTCACCTTGAACTGACAATGCCATGTCATCACGTTTGGCAGAGCCACAGGCACAAAAGTTGTTTCACCAGGACTGACCAAGACAGGCCGTGCGCACATCGAGTTTCGGCCAACGCTAGAAAGGTCGCGGCCTGACAGCCAGCGGGTGGACAGCAACGCTCGATTGAACTTGCAGCTGGCTTGAGACATTTGGGCATTCCACACAAGCGAATGCCAATCGCACAGCGCTGCTTGCGCAGCGCTACTTGTAACGCTTTGCAGCCAGGTTCCAGGAGCCTCATGTCTATGCGTTTTGTGAGCTCCGCAAGCTTCGAGCCTCTCGTTCAAGTTGCAACTGCTGCAAATGCCAGGGGTTTGCAGAGTGACGGGCCGTAAACTTCGTCGTAAATCGAACACTGCGTTACGCGTTGGCCCTGCGTGTATTTGGCTCACTTTCCGATGAGGTCATCTTCGCAATCCCCCAGCAGCGCGCGGGGACTCAACTGGCTGTTGAGATGGAACCTCAAAACCCGCAGAGGCGTTGTGTGTTCGGTCATGCCGGTCGTGCGGGTCTTGCTTCCATGCTGCCAAAGTGCTGCCTTTGGCGACACATGCATGGCCTTGAAAGCATTTCTGCCTGTCCTGGTGTTCCTGCCAATAGACGCATCATGATGTGGCGCCATCAGTGTCAGAGCCTGCTCAGCTCGAAGATCATGTTGCAGGCTTCCAGCGCTGGACGGTTGCCCCGCTTGGCTTGCCAAGAGGCCTGCTGTCTGGTTTCCTTTGCTGGCGCCGTGTACAGCTGCCTCGACGTCAGCTGCTTCTGCCAAAGCTCCTCCCTGAGTTGGCGGTCTTTTTCGTTTCGCACAGAGCATGGAGAGCTTGTCCTGAAAAGGGCCTCCTGGGACTTAGGTGTGGGCTATCTTGGCCTTCTCGAAAAGCATTGTTTGCGTATCCGCGGATTTTGATGTTTGGAGTTGCTTCTGCCCATTTTTTGCTGGCACTGGTTGCGGCTTGACCTTGGGGAGGCGGCCGTTGCAAGATCCGTTGGGGCCACGTCAGCATAGCGTGGAGTGCTGAGGCGCGCTCGCGACGTACTGACAGCGCATTGCCACACGTCCAGAATCATACTGCGACCTTGTCAGGCTCGCGCGCGAGCGCTTGGGAGCCCAGAGCCTGCCATACAAACTAGCTCGAGCGTCAAATGGCTGCTCTTGCAGATGGGCCATCTTGGCTTGCAGGTTGACAGGAGGCGGCATCCGTGTTCGCCTGCAGCGAGCCGTGTGGTTGCTCCTTGCCAGGTTCGCGCGCATGTCGGAGCCCGGAGAACCACAGAGCTGGGGCCACGTTGCCTCGTTAGAAGCTAGCTCGACTGGCAATAAGCGTCCATTTCCCAGTAAGTTCAATGGCTACTGTTGCAGATGGGGCTATCTTGGCTTGCAGGTTGCCAAGAGGCAGGCGGCCTTGGAGGGAGGTTGTGCTTATTTGGAGCCATGACAGTTGCAAGTCACAGCCGCCCATCTCCGTGGCTTTGCAATGGCAAGCTCAAGCGAGTCGGCGCAGATGCAGCTACCAGCTGTCTTCGCAAACGCGACTTGAGTTGTTGTTGCTGATTCAACCAGCGGCTGTCAAAAGCAACCATTTAGACGCTGACACTCCGCTTGCAGCTGCGGCGCGAGCGAAGAGGTGGATATTCTTCGGATCTATTCAGTGGACGAGTCCAATAGCGGCCCCGGCTTTCTTTGCCTTTGCGCGTGAATGCTTGAGCGCATGAGCGCCACAGTAGCTGAGCGCCACCTTCCAACGCAAGTGCCGCAAAGCTTTCGGCTGTGAGTAGCCATTTTGCAGATGATGCGCCTTCTTGAGCGCTGCCTCGCCTGCGCAGCAAATGCTCATCTATGGGAATCTAGTCTTCTGGCAGAAGAATTGCCACGCTCTTGGGTGTTAAAGAACTTTGCCAGGGCTTGCTCACAAGAAAGTCTCTACTTCCGGCGACGCAGGTTGGCTTGGCTTGCGGAGCTTATCTGCGTGCTCCGGCCCCCAATTGCGCCAGCTTGCCACACATGCATAGGAAGGGGGAGAAGAGGGTTTTGATTGTGAAACATGTCAGAGGTGCGTGTCAGGCGAGACGGTCGAGACTTCAAATCCGAACCCCTCATCCTTCACATGAGCCTGACTCATTGGACGCTGCCCTGACTTTTGGTCGCTTCCCAGCCGCATGCAAGACTATTCCGCATCCGTTGCCCAAATTTCGAGTCCTCCAAAACAAAGGACCTGAGAAGAAGCGACGGCAATCTTGTTGCCGTTTCAACATGGAGGCTAGTCCCATGCATATGCTGGTCAGGGATTGTTTTTTCTGCGTCGGCCCCCAAGTTGCCAGTGACAAGCCTAGAAAGTCTGCTGAGGTGAGTGCTTCTGGAGCTATGGACTTCAGTGTCCCGGTAGACTTGCTTGGCAAGGTCGCTGGGACATTGCGCCGTTTTGAGGACAAGGCTGGGGCACAAGTCGCATCGGAATTGTCCGCGCAAGTGTTGCACCGGACACAGAGACTGGTTGTTATGTGCTAACACGTTTCAGAACACTTCTTTGACCCATAGTCGAGGCACCAACAGCGGACAGGGCAGACAACCGCAAGGCTGAGCTTGCCGGGGCGCGAGCGACGCCAGACGCATGTTGAACACGCTGCAGGACATGTTTTTGTTTGAATCTCTTGAGGGAAAGACTGATGCTGATTGAGCTTTTGCGACAGCCAAGATGTGATGACTTGCCTTGTGTGGCATGCCAGCAGCATCCAAGATGCGAGCCGTAAGTGCCGCATCCCAAGTGCTGCGCTTGCCAAACGTGTAGTTAGGACGCATTGTCAGCGGGTGCTCAGCCGTAAGTGCCGCATCCCAAGTGCTGCGCTCGCCACACGTGTAGTTGTGCTTCGGCACAGGCTGCGTTTGCCTGCGAGCTATAGCAAAGGCCTCGCGCAAGCAGAGATCTTGCGCTCGAGTGGCATCACACGTTCCAGTGACGGCAGCTTACAGAGAAAGAGCGCGCAGTGCAATCGGCGTTTCGCTTTGTTTCGAGTTACGTATTTTGTTTGCCGCATGTGACTTGGCCATGGAGAGTAACTCTGATACTAGACAATGAGCCTTAAAACGGGAGTTCGCTAGGAAAGGCGCTCAACGCACATACCGACATCCGTGTTGCAACCCAGTTTTTGAAGGTGGCAGGGTGCTCAGAGCAGCGGGCGCACTGAAATGTTTCTGCAGCACAAGGAGAACACACATACACAAAAGAGAAAGGACTAACAACAAAACACAGGGGAGGAAAGTCTCAAACAAAGAGAACTACACACCAACAAACTATAGACCCTGATTTTCCCGAAAGCGTTTATCAAAAAAAGAGCCCAATCCTGCCCCCAGGCAGAGCTGCGCAGCAAGGAGGCGCGCTGCGCAGCACAGCTATGTTGAGATGCGCTTCAACGCAAAGCTATGTTGAGATGCTCTGTGTAGCAAAGACTATGTTGAGATGCGCCGTGCAGCAGGCTATGGTGATACGCACTGTGCTGTGAAGCACGACGCTATGTTGAGATGCGCTGCGCAGCAAGGCCACGTTGAGATGGGCTATGTTGACATTTGTTCCGCGGCAAGGCTATGGTGACACACGGTGCAAAGCGGAAGGCCGCCATATCTGACATACTGTGCAAGGTCATGTAGCACCTTGGTTGCCTCCACCGCCCACTGATTGATCCGGAGCCCCCACTGGGCTTTGAATTCCTCTGACTGAGGCTTCAATTTGAAATCAGTTTGCAGCTTCCATGCAAGGCTTCTGCACGCCTTTGTCAGTTTCCAGCGCAGGGCCCCAAGGCCCGTCCACCCAATTGAGCGGCAGGGCATCCTCCAGTGCTCTTTTGAGCGCACTGTCTTTATCCAAATGCACTGCCCACTCCATGCGCCGGAAGCTGAGGATCGAGTTCAGTCACACCCTCCTCTCACAAGTACTGCCACACCTGCATTGTGCGCTTTGCAGTTTTTAAGGCGTTGAACTCTTGAATGGTGCCGTCGGAACAGTCAAGCCCGTCTCGGCTCAGTGCATGGTTGAGCACTGCAAATAACACTCGCACCATTTGTAAAAGGTTTCACGATTCAATTGGTGCTCAAATCTTTGGCACTGGCCGCGTCGACAATTCCACCAAGGGCACCTGCCGACGTGTGATGTCAATCATATCTGACTGAATGACAGCTTGCGTCTTTGCAGGGCTGGAAGCCAGGCGGCTGCAGCGAGTCTGGCATTGATGCTGATGGCTGTGGCTCATCAAGCACAGCCTCTTCTGATCTCAAAGTCATCTCAGCATCAATTCATTCTTTTTAGAAATTCAATCGACTCTGTGTCTGGTGCCCAGTCCGGCATGGACACTAGGTCCTGTGCTGATTCCTGAGCCCGTTGTCTCTTCCATTGCAGCTGAGCCAGTCACTTGCCGCGTGCGCAGGGCAGGCGGCCCCTTTGCCTTGCTCTTTGGCATCTGCGCAGGCTGTGGCAAGTATTGCCAATCACGTAGGTCACAACTTGCCAAGTCCCTCTCCAGGCACTGCTGTGACACTGAGTCATTCCACATTAGGCATGCTTTGCCCCACCTTGCTGCGACACTGAATCATCGGCAGTGACACTGACGCAAGGCTCCTGCGCACACAGTAGCCAGCTTGGTGGGCGCACGGGCTCTGGCACACTTAGCGATGACGGCAATGCCCATGGATCAGCCGGAAGGCACGCAGGCACTGAAGGAGGTGCCACCCACTGATTTGTGTGCCTTGGCTGATGCAGGCCTTGAGTTCCTGAATGACTGACATGGCTGGCCCCTGCAAAGACAGGCTTGATCATTCACAGCTGCATGCAATTCAATTCACAAAGATTGAAGGCTGAAGGCTAATGACACTGAGTCCTGGCTCAAGGCTAATGTCACTGAGTTCTGGCTGAGGGCAGCACACCGTCAGAAATCACCGCTTGTTCACGACACAGCATTGACCGTGACTGTGAGTGAGGGCTCCGAAGATGCAATATGATAGTGACGCTTGTTTTACCCTAGCGCATGACATGGTCCTCACGTGTGCTTCTGTAAGTACAATGGCAGCAGGTTATTCTTTATCTTTTCGCTTCCGCATCAAATCGCTCTGTGACAGACAGTGTGTCAATTCGCAGTCTGGTTGGCACAGATGTTGATCATGACTGACTGGGCGCTTGGAGTTTTGCTGTGACATGTGAATGACAAGGTTATTCTTTGACAGCAACGTTGATTTAATGTTCTGAATCATTGCCAGTCATCATCTGCCCCCCGTGACTGAGTCACAACACAGTGTTTGCGCTTTCCATTGAGGCTCACTCGTCGTCTTGCTTAGCCTCGCATAGCTCACACTCGTACAGAAGTGCGTCAGTGTTGCCCTCTTCCAGAAACATCATCTGGCTAATGGGCATGTGAAACCTCCACCCTGGACATTCAAATGTCCGTTTTTTCTCGACATTTGCAAAAAACACGTCAAAGACAAGAATGTGCTGATTTTCTCGACATTCAGGATGTTGCCCAAAAAGCAGCCATTTGCCCGCTCAGGCAACTTACCTCTCCGTTTGGCTCAAGCCTGCTCGCCTGCCTGCAAATGCGTTTTTCTCAGCGGCAAACCGTGATCCAGTGAACTGCAGCTACACACAGGAAGCGCCGGACTGCATTTGTAGCAGTTCCCCGGTGGTGACACCCAGAGGCCTCAGGCAGAGCAAGTTCGGAAAGCGTTTTTTTCGGGTTAGAATAAGCTTCGGGCAACATCGCATATCCTTTGCACCAGGTCTTCGTCGCCGAAGCACGCATTTATTTTCGGGTTGATTGGAAAAATCCTCAAACGCAGCCACATATGTAGCCAAGTGTGTAGCCTCAGCTGTGCAGAACACAGAAACTGTAGTTGGCGCCAAACCTAAAATTCTCAGGACACCTTCGCGCTGCGTGTAGACAGGAGGCTTTGGGCGCAGTTTGTAGCACCGCGTGTTGTTGGCGTGCGCAGAGTGCGCAAGCCACAAGTACCCCAAAACGAAACGAAATGCCATGGTGACCCCCCGCTCTATTGAGCCCACGCTCACAAAGAATTTGTGCTCCTCTATGATTTGCACACCAGCTTTGAGAGCCCTTGCTGTCCTTAGATGAAACCCTTTTCCCACCAATTCGTTGCCCCAACTTGCCCAAACAGCTAGCTGTGCGTCATGCTCAAGACCTGCGCCAACTCGGGGTCCGTGGGCTGGCCACTTTTGACCCACATAGCTGAGACTTCAGCCTCAGACAACAAACTGTTAGCAAGCGAAACCTACATCTATTTGTATTTGTTTTGCACAAATGCCTCCAGGGAGCCAACCAAAGATGTCATACCCTTTCGCAGCTAGCTGTGGATAGCCTTTTTCTTGAATAATGTTGAATTCATCAACTGAAAGCTCTACTTTCTTTGCACGAGCCCAGGACTTGGCCAAGGAGTGCGCCTTTGCCAAAGCAGCTTCTGTTTTGCCAAAAATCTCATAAGGGCGCTGGCGATCCAATCGGGGCCGAAGCCCCTGTCAACAACATGCAAGACATCGTCCTGAACAGTCACAACATCAAACTCACGCAGGCGCAGTAGCGGAGGCAGATGCGGGCGAGTGCACTCCAGTAGCGTGCGGAATTCCTCAGAAAACGCCGCGCAGCTTTACGTGCGTTGCTTTGGGAAACACACTGCAAGCAGTCAAGCCACCAATAGCGTCTCCTCTGTGCCAGCCCAGGCTGGGTCAAAAACGTTCAAGTAGTGGCTGCTGTTCGGGCTGAGGTAGCAAGTAGCATCATTTGGGTCACATGTGCTAGCAATCCTCAGCCCATAATTGCATCAGCGACGGTGAACCCTAATGCAGCAATGCGAACAGGACACTTGCAAATGTGGCACATCCTGCAGAACAAAGATATCTACTCCGGCTACTACGCCTAGAACCTGCGGCAGAGATTTCTGCCGCAATGCGTTGCGGCGACTTCAGCCGCAAAAAAAACGCAACTAAAACACAAGCGTGCCGCAATACTGTTTGCAGAATTGCGGGCTGGCTAAGCAGAATCCCAGGTTTCCATGTGTCCGGCGGCAAACAAACATGCCGAGCACACGCCGCTTCCTTCTAGCTCCATTCCCCAAACAACATAGAGGACAGCTTGCTGCCCCGATCTTTCAAGTAGCCAAAGCTTTTTAAGCTTTTGCCACTCATGTTACCAGTTGCCCCAAAATGTGCAGACGCAAGCCACGAAGAGCTTTCTCTGCCCCACGCACCTGCCAAAACAACAATCGCCCTTTTTTCTGCGGGAATTGCAGAAACTCAAAAATCCGGAAAACAGTCACAGATTGTAGCGGGTTGATGTCGGTCGATTTCGGGCAGGGCGGCCTTTGACACTCATTTTGCGCAAGCAAAAGCAGCTCTAAGGAGCAGCGGCAGTGCCGCTGGACCCTTTTAAAGCGGAGTGAGTAAATTGCATACCGAAGCGTTGCAGATTTCACCTCATGTCCCTAGGTGAACCTCACGCAGAAAGGCTTGAGAAACCTGATTTGAGCCAAATGTCACACGTGCAAGGTATTGTCCTCTTAGCCGAGGCGCGGGTAGGTGAGAAAACAATCTGCCGCAATGCGGCAAAAACGCCGCAAATTAGAAAGAAGTACCACAAATCCAAAAAGGCTCCTTTGTTGAATTGCGGCAGAAATTTCTGCATCGCAACGACTCTACGTATGCACGCGCTGGTCCTGTTGCCATTTTGCCACCCGTTGCCAGACCAGTGGCGGTGACTCAGACAAGCAAAAACAGCAACGTTGCAACTCGAAACACGTGCGCACACAGGTAAGAGCCAGGCTAATGGAAGACCTGTTGAAACCACTTGAGATCTCCGCCCAAGGCGTAAAACTTCGCAGGGTGATTTGCATGCAGCCGCCTCAGAAGAAGCTTTCGAAACACGCGCTAGCTAGCGACCCTCAAACTTGCGCGGCAAGCGGCAAGGTGTCCAAGTCTTGCACAATAATTTCCATAATCTCATCCAGCGTTGTTTGGCAGCAGTGCTTCTTTTGCAGCTTCCGTGTTATCAGTTGGTGGCCAGGGATCACACCTCAATTATGGTTTTGCATGATGCGCAGAAATTGCAAGGCAGCTAGCCCCTCTGAAACGGGTCTTGCTGCTTTCTTTTGCGCGGGTTGGCGGGACGAGCCCCAAACTAAGCCAAGTCTGCTCAACCCACCGCCAAAACCTCTCTTTCGGACACAGGAGCAAGTTGACTGCAACAAGCCCGTGCTAGCGCGGGGGCCCGTTGTTCGCAGCAAAAGTTTTATTTGCCCGCAAAAGCATCTTTGCGCAAACAAAAATCAGGTTGGAACCTCACACGCACGCAAGCGCACATGCGCACAGACACACCATGCGCACAAATGCAAACACACGTGCGCGCAAAGCACACACACATATATATATATAGATATATTATACATATACACATGTGCCGCGCACTCACGCACACACACACGCAAGCACGCGCCTGCACGCGTTACGGGTACAGACACAGGCGTGCAAGCAAACAAATACGCGCGCACGCGCGCGCGCGCGCGTAAAACCTCAAGCCTGCCTCCATCTATTTTGCCTGCGGCGTCGGCTTCTATGCACACACGCGCAAATTGAACATGACAACACAAGCCGAAACGCAAAAAGGACTAGAAACAGGAACTCGTCGAAAAAATCCACGCAAGCCGAAGTGGCATATCGGCAGGCGGGTCAGAAAAGTGTCCTGCGAAGCCACAGCGAATGATGCCAGGACCGAGGGATCCCAGCTCACAAATGGCTCTCGCTACCGCTGTCCCCTGAGTGAGACCAAGGAGTTGACGCGTTGACCACCAGCAGGTTCCGTTTCTTGAAGTAGGGGCCTTCGTCGCCGTGGATCTTGAACACAATGTCATTCAAGCCTTCCAGCGCCGTGACCCCGAATAACGCGCAGTCAAGTCAAGAACGGGCCTAACTGGCGACCCTGCATATGCGGGGCTTTGTTGAGCTGCGCTATGAACCTCAAAGAAGAAGAAGGACTGAACCAACCCTTGGATCACAAGCTCGGTTTTCCGCATATCCCAGATCAACACATGCACGCGCACTCAGGCAGACACGCGCAACGCTCTTCGGAAGTGGTTTGGCCATAAAGAATCAAATTCCGCACCTTTGGCCTCTTCCATAGCCAGGCCAAGTAGCTGCTGAGCAGCACAAAACCTCAAAGATTTCGCACAGTGGCAAAAAACAAAACGGGATCCCTCAAGGATAAAAATAACACGCTTTCAGCCTAGAAGCTCACGCGCCTCTTGCAAATGCGCTGGCCAATTTTCAGACTCACCTCTTTTGTCGAAACAACTGGCAGGTCCCTTCGTAGGCGGCTATGAAACGTTCGCTCTGTTTGCACAGTGCCCAAAGATAGCGTAGCTTGTTTCTTTGACCCCTCTAAACCTGCTGATTTGCAAACTTCACTGATGAAGCTGATGTTGGCGTTCTTGTGGCGCAGCGCCTTGATCACCGAGCAGGCCACAGGTGCCTCTGAAATCATTTCAAGCTGGGACATGGGCTGCCCAAATGGCGCAAAACTCGTTGGCGCGCTGCTAGTAGAAGGCTCAGACTGCTCCTGCAGCTTTTGCTTTTTGGCCTGCTTCAACAACGCCAGGGCGCCGCGCTTGGGTCTATTCCTCAAACAGATTATGGCCAAAAACACCTGCGTTGAACCCGCTGCTTGGGCGCAGGCTTGGCTGAAGAGGTAGCAAGTTCTTTTCCTGCGTAAGGGGAGGCTGCCAGCAACGCACACGTGCAAAGAGTTTCAAGTACAAGTGTGGGTTGGTTCAAAGGTCAAGCAAGCGCAAGCGTGGCTTCAAGCAGATTTCTGCGCGTGGCTAAGCTGGCTTTGTTAGATTGGCCCCGTGCTGTTTCACAGCGATGGCAAGAGGGTTGCGCAAGCGTGAAACTCCCTCAACGCCAAAACTCACCCCATTAATGCCGCTTGACATTAATCTACCCCTCAGCTTCAGATTTCTGAGCAGCCTTTGCGCACCCGTTTGCGAACTCCTGTCAGGATATGTGCAAACTCAATCAAGTTTGAAAAGTCGAGCGCAAAAAGGATGTCCTCCTTGGTCAAGTACTTCAAGTAGGCCTCGCCGCATGCCTGAGCCAAAGCGTTGCGCGCCAACACGCACGGGCGCATGTGAGGGTCTGGCCTTGGCCTTCGTCGCCCACACGCTCTCAGCGTCCGTTGCCGTGACAGCCTTCATGTCCTTGCATGTGTGAGCGCGCGAGGTCTCTTTTTGACTTGCTAGCAAGCATGTAGTTCCAAACAAGCCTTCCACGCGCTTTCCAGATGGGCTTTCGCTTGCCCAAGCTCTGCCACAGCTTCTTTGGCGGCCCCGTAGTCAGCCAGCACCAAGCTCAGGCGGGCAAAGCTGCCAGCCTGTGTTCACTGAAGGGTGGGCCTTGCTGTACCAGTTCAAAACATCAGGCCTTTGCAAGAATCTCCTTCTCAGCGGCCTTCTTCGAGGCTTCCCTGTCCACGACAGGGAACTCCGCTGTGACGAGCTGGCTGGCTTTGACTTTTTTGAGCTCCCAGACTGCAATCGGATTTCCGTCCTGCGGGGCGCTCAGAGAACGCTTCACAAGTGGCCAACCGCGTCCTTGCCCTTTTTGTTCTTCACTGCCGAGCCGTTTGCCTTGGCCTTGGCCTTGGCCTTTGGGGCCGGGACCGGGGCGGGTGCGCCTGCCAGTCTCACAACCACACAGCACGCAATCTGGCACGAAGGCCGCAGCGGGCCTCCGTCTGTCAGCTGCGGCTGTTCCACACCACCGTTTTTCCTGCAAGCGCTTGCTACGCGCGCGCCGCAAAAAGTAAATGTAATATCAGCAATTCTGCTGGGTAAAACACGCGTAGTTCGCTCAGCAGAATTTGAGCGCTGGAGAAGAAACAAACAGAGTTCAACCGTTCGGCTTAATTTATTTGGGTGAGTGAGAGACCACGCAGCTGAATCTGCCCAGTAAACAAGCCAGAAGCGCAGCTCGGCGAACAGCTTCTGTGCCTCTGGGCGAGGGTCCCGCGAGAGCGGCACCACCTTGCTCTTCCACTCCTCCGTCTTTCTCTTCAAGTCCAGCTCGCTCAGCTCTGTCACAAGCTGGTACAGGAACGCATTGCTGCAGTTCGGGTCGTCCATGCGGCGCCCGGCCTGTTCAGCCTCCGACATAGCCCTGCCAGCCTTTTCCTTATTGCCATGGTAGTGGGCTAGAACAGCTTCCTCGCTCAGCCAGCCTGTCCTGGAGCGGGCAGACCTGCAAAATGCAGGAAAATAGAAGCAAACCTTTGAAGGTGTGTGCGAAATAAGGTTGCGGCGTTTGGCTGAGCTGTGACAGGCAAAGCTCAGTGCTCACAGTGGCCACATCCGACGACTTCATCCACTGCTGGAGAAGGTTCTCGCGCTCTGCTCCGCCAGCCTGAAAAGCTTGAACCATTTCCAGCGAAACGCGGTTGAAATTGGCGCAAACACGGCGAAGGCTGCTCCGCCATCCACTCAAGCTCTTCTCCTGCGGCGCGCACCACACATTGGCTGAGACTTGCACGATCAGTTACGCGCCTCCGTGGTTGGGCTTTTTGTGGAGTTGGGGCTGGGCGTCATCTCGTTCGGCTTGGCCTGCGGCGTGCCCAGGAAGGTTAGCGCCTTTGAAGGTGAGATGAACAGTTCGGGCTCCTTGGCGTTCTGCGGGCTTGCCTGCTGACTCACAGATGCTGCGGCGGGCACCTTGGGCTGGGCTGGCGTGCCTTGCGCAGCGGGCGGTTGGGTTGACGTCTCTTGCTGGTGCTGGGCTGGCGCGACTTCTGCAGACGGCGGCTGGGATGGCGCGACTTTCGGAGACGGGTGCGCTGACGCAACTGACGCAGAGGCCAGCCAAGCCTGGCGCAGCAGGCGCTGGCGCAGTTGGATGGGCTGGCGGGCTTGGCTGGCTTGGCACAGGCAGCTGGGCTGCGCTCTGCTGGCTTGGCGCAGTTGCCGGCTGCGGCGCGCTGGGCTGCGGCAAGCTGGCTGGGTTGGGCAGGCTTGGCTGTGTGTCTTCCAGGTCCACCACGCCCACCGGCTCCACCTTCGGCGTGGCAGGCTCCTCCTTCTTAAGCTGGCGCTGCAACGCAGCCACACGCTCCTGGGCAGCTTTTAGGGCTTCGGCCTTCTGCTGCTTGCGCAGCAGCTTTTTGCGAGCCTGCTGTTCAGCCTCCGCCATAGCCTGGAGCTGCCTGTCAAGCTCGCGCTCCTCCTCGTCTTCGCTAGCGGCAGGTGACGGGGGCTGGCATCTGGTCTTCGCAGCTGCTGGCGCCAGGGGTTTGAGTAAGGATCTCGATCGTGGCGGAAGCCACACGTCTGGCACGAACTCCGACTCTGCCTTGCGCTTGCACTGCTGTTCGAGCTCGTTCGAAAGAGCCTCTTCAAGAGTTTCCTGTGCACGAGACTGTGGAAAATGGAGATAAGCCGAACTGACTGGAAAGAGCTACTAAGCTCGCTTGTTTGCTGAATTGCGGTTCTTGCAACTGCTGCGGGCATGCCTGCGCTAGCAAGCACTCAGTCCTGCGGCGTGTCGACCCGTGTTTCTGGCAGCTCCTCCGGCCTGCCTGGCGAGTACAATTGAGAAAGAAGCGCACTAGCTACTAGCAACCGACCTTGTTGCTGGTGAAGCTGAGCCTGACACTCGAGCGCGAAATTTCGCTGCGAAACAAGTTTGCGCAACACATGAAAAATTTGACCACGTGCAATCTCGCTTCTACGCGCGCGGCAAAAATACGGTCTCGCAAGCGAACAGTTCCTTCTTGACGTGTGCGAACGCCTTCGCATGAAACAAGAGCTGTCCCGCATGCGCGCAGCGCAAGCTCAAACACAGTAGGCCTGCGTCTCATAGTCTTTAGAAAGATGCTGCATGCCCGCCAGTAGGGTGCTGTTTGACCTATTGCGAGCATTTAGGCAGGTGTGAGCAAGTGTGAAGCTCAGGCTGCGGCACTTGGCTGTCAACCGCCATTGCTGGGCTCTAGCCACCGAAGGTGAAAACAGGAAAGTTCGCTAAAATGCTGGCAGCGCCCGGGCAAAAAAGTCAAGCAATCGCTCAGGCACTGCGAAGCGCATTTTCAAAAAATGGCCGTGTTCGGTTGTGGTCGGTTTGTGGTCGGGTGTTTAGTAAAGAAACGATCTACGGTGGTCGGTTGTGGTCGGTTTGTGGTCGGTTTGTGTTCGGGTTCATTTTGGAGCAGTGATTTTCCGGCTTTGGCGTCGCGCAGTTCTCGAGTGTTCAGTTGCTTAGTTGGATCCAGCCGGAGAGAGGGCCGGCCGCTGTTTTGTGGCTGAGGCGCGTTCCTAGGGTCCGGAAACGGGTGGCGGTTCCACGCGTGCGCGACTAGGAGCGCTGCGTGTCTAGCAACTGTTTGTGACGGTTGTCTGAAATTCCTTGCTCCCAATTTAAAACCGCCATACTTCCGGAGAAAAAATAACTTTCGCGAGCCCCGTCGCAGAACTTTTGCGGGGCTGTTTTCGCAACGTTCATCAGTAACTTCCGCAGCCCCGGCTCGAAAGCCGTAACTTTTCAGCACGTAGCGCACGAAGGACAGCTTGCGCAGCCCCGGCTTGAAAGGCGAAACTTTTCATACGAAAGTAATAAGTTTATCCGCAGCCCCAGCTCGAAAGCCGCAACTTTTCAACGCGAAAGTAGTACACAAAGTAAGCTTCCGCAGCCCCTTCTTGAGAGACGCCACACGAAAGCAGTATAAGCAACAATCACTTCCGCAGCCCCGCCGCGAAAGTCGCAACTTTTCAAAATGTTCGTACCGCGTGAAGTAAACGTCCGGAGGCCCAGCTCAAAAGCCGCAACCTTCAGCTGTACAAGGCGCGCAGCAGCGCGCGGAGGGATACATGTATGTCCGGAAACAGGCATAAAGTTCCATCGGTTTTCGCAAAACTTTCGCGGACCCTGCGCCAAACATTCGCAAAAATCCGGCTGGAAAGCTGACTCAACTTGACCCGAAAATTTCAAAACTTCCACAAGCTGGTTTCTGCTGGGGGTTGCTTCTGTAGCGACGTATTCTCGCGGCAGCGCGTGCTGCCAGCAAACACACGTGGCTCGTCATTCCAGCTTCCTGTCGCCCTTGCGCAAAAACTTCGCGAGACAAATTACCTTTCGCGGCCCCCTGCGCGGAACTTTCGCGAAGGTCAACGCTAAGTCCAACAGGTCTTCCCCCTCCGAACGCCCCCCCCCCTCGGCCCTGGCGGACGACTCCCAAACTGTGTGGACAGATCCAACACCCTACTGTTCGCAGAAATGCTAAACCATATGATGCGAGTCACGAGCGCGCAAACACATGGAATTCCAGCACACTATTCCAACATTCTGTTGTTTGCAATGGAATGTTGGACTTGTTCACCAAATTGGGCGAGCATGCAAACGTTTGGCAATTCCAACCCTATTCCAAAATTAAACCAGTCTATTGCTCGCGAAGGCATGTTGGAATCGTTTCTAAGATGAACACGCAAAACTGAGGAGCTCCAACTTCTATTCCAACATTCTATTGCTTGCAATGGGGTGTTGGAATTGTTCACCAAAAGAGGCATGAGCTGCAAACATCCAAATTCCAACATTCTGCTTCTTGCAATGGAATGAGGGAATTGGTCCACGTACGCAAACGTGATGAGCGCATGGACTGAGTAACTGCAACATTCTATAGCAATGGAATGTTTCGCGTAAAGCTGTCAAGTTTCTGCCATCAAGTTTCTGACATGTTCTGACCGGGCGCTCAATCATGGGCAGTCGACCCAGCCGTCTGGATTCATCAATGACTTTGTCCTACCAAGATCTTTGAAGCAGCCTCCCCCGGCCAAATTGGCATTGTTCATGAATTTTACGAGCAACACGTGCGCCTAGCGCGCACTGCTGCGTGAAAATCCCAGCTCAGCCAACAACTTCCTGCAACGCGGCAAGCAAATGATCAACCTCTGCATGAGCCGGTAAGTCCTCCAATGAGGACCCGGCACCCGTAGATGCCGTGACTTTGCCAGGTACGCGATCACAGACCAGAGGTTTGCCTGGAACACGCGAAGGCATGCGAAAAGCAAGTTGGTTTGCAAAGGGGGGGCGCATCCTCCCACATGTCGCCCATAGAGATCTTTCCATCCGTGTAAAAATATTCGAACCTCAAATCGCTTCTTGCTCACTCACTCCAACTGAAGCTCCTAGCTAGCTGACAGGTGCTCACCTAGCAGCCCTCCAAATGCATCTGGTATCGCAGTCATGGGCTCCAGCGAGGAGACGGGCGCCGGATCAAGGTTCGGATGATTGGCAATCAAGTCTGCAACTTGGCGCCCAAAATCTCGGGGATAGGCCCTCGGCGCGCATGAAAAAACAACTGCTGCTCCGTTTCGTGCTCCAAAAAGTTCAAAGCAAACTTCTGAGTTCATGTTGGAACGCGGGTTAAAGGGGGCAAGGCGCTGCGAGGACCGTAAGCTAGCAGACCCCTGAACTCTTCCGTCAGCATGTCGAACTGTTGTACGGCCTTTTTGAAGTTTTTCGGCTCGCTCCTGACACTCCGCCTTCCGCTTCTTGTTGAAGCTCTTGTAGAGCCCCCCCACATAGATCCTGCAAGGCAGTTGTAGGGGGAAACGTTCCGGTTTTGGCTGCAGCGCAAAAGCGCGGGCCACGCCTGTTACTGAAGAATGTGCACAGCTTTGGGCACCAGTGCCCCCAGGATCCAAGGAATTGGTTTATTTCAAAAACCTTTCCCAGGCACAAGCTCTTCACGTAGGCAGCTCTTGGGTGGTACCGCATCAAGCTCGAGCATGGCTGCTCCAGGAAAAAAGTGCCCTTGTGCCAAAGCACTAAAGCTATCGCCAGAAAGGTCCTCAAAGCAAGATGTGAACATCTGCTGTGTAGGACTGTAGGACATCCAAGGCTTTCTGAGAGGCGGGCCGAGATGTCATGATGTTGGCGTCTGCCACTGCTGGCAGGTCAGGGTTCCTTCCAAGTGGGCACTCTCGGCCTCAAGCACCGACAACAAGTTTAAACTTCTGGCACTTCGCGCAATTTGAAATTGCTGAGAAGCACACTGCGTTGGCTAGTATGGCGCGAAAGCCACACCCAGCTGCTGCACAATGGCGCAGCCATCAAAAACCTGTCACTGTGACACTAGCACTGCCACATGCAAAATAACTCAACCACACGACGCCTTGGTCCTGATGACTGCATGCACAAGACCGAATGTAGGACAAGCCTCATGGCAAGGCTTTGCGCGCAAGCAGGAAAGCGCATCAGGCCCGAACGCCATGCCCGCAGCAGACAAGATGTTCATGGATGGGTGCTGCTCAATGTCGATGCTGGCAGTCCGCATTCCGCGCTCCACCAGGCCGAACTTAGCCAGTGCAGGGCAGCAAAAC